CATTTCCGGTGGTAAGCAAATTCATCCATTATGTTGTCTTCAACAAGGTAATCCACATCAGCCAAGTCCGAGTATGCCATTCTACCGACCCCCTCCAAATGATCGCTTGTGATTGCCTTAGGCTGGTATAAAGAGTTTCAATGATCTTTGAATCAAAGGTAATTCTTTTTGCCACTTAAGGGGATATATCTACGAGTCACCTTCCCTAAGGTGCATCGTTGTGGTTTCATGGCAACTCAACTCCTCGCTACGTTGACAATCGATTACCACCTTCTTAAGCGTGAAATTGTTGTCTACCTAGTGAACCCTCGCCATATGTTCCACTCCATCCCTCTAGAGGTGTGCTTCGTCTCTCAGCTCAAGAGATGCTGTGATGTCTCATTTTGTGAGTTGATCCTGAGGTGTTCGGTCTTCTAGAAGATCGATCCTTCTAGAGTCTCCTTCTCCTCTCGTTGTCCTGTTGGCTGGAGTTCTCAGAACAAGACGTCGAGACGATGATGGTGAACGAATTAACATTCAATTGAAGTGCAACCTGGATCGTGAAGATTGTGCTAGTTTGCGTTCCCCCTTCACCTTCCCCTACGCTTGAATCTCGAGACGAGATTCTTGTTTAGTGGGGGTGAGTTGTCACATCCCTAGCTTCTGGTTTGCTCTGAGCTAGCTAGTCATGTGTTGCATCATGTTTAAATTTTGCCTAAAATTGAAATGGGGATGTTCAAACCCTAGCATTAAATCAACTCAACTAGGGTGAATTAAAATCTTTTCAATAAACCCAAAAGGTTCCTAAGAAAAGTTCATGATTTCTGGTTAAGGTGGAAACCTCTGCCAAAAATGATGAATATATTCTTAGGTCATTTTTGGACTTTTGAATTAAATCATATTGTATTTGACTTTGGGCATTTAAATACTATAAATAATTTAAATGTTCAAATAAATGTTGGAAATTGTTAAGGGTCACTGAAATAATTCAGAAAGCACCCATAATTGTTTCCAGGATTTTATTAAATGATTTGGTATTTTAAATCAGATCAAAAACAAAATAACAGAAATAGGAAAGAAATAAAAGAGAGAGAGAGAAGGAAGTTACCTGGCGCTCACCGAAGCCCACCTGGACAGCCCAACACTGTGCAGCCCAACCACCAGGGGGCATGCCTGTCTTCTTCCCGTGCCAGCGCACGAAGCAGCTCGGTGGCGAGCACCGCCACCGCGCTTGGCCACCTCCTGCCTGGTTGCCTCCCTCCTCGACGCCCGGAGACGCCACGCGCCTCCCCGACCCCCTCTCACTTCTCCCTCGCTCTCTGGACCTCCCTCCCCCTCGCTCCTCTGCTTCCCCTCCCGCGACCGAATGGAGCCCGTCGCCGCCGACCAGTGCTCGCGCGGCCACAGCCACCGTCTCGCCTCCCCGACGCCTCCCAAAGCTCCGCTATTCCGCCCTCGTCCTCCTCATCGTCTCACGCGACCAGAAGGGCCCCGAGCAGCCGCCATCGTCATCATCTTCAAGCTTCGGCCCCGGCGCCCTTCTCCGTCGATTCGGCCACTCCGGCGCGCCCCCGAGCCCACTAACCCTCCCTGCAGCTCCGCGGTGAGCCTTTGACCCGATTCCCCCTCTCCCCGTGCCCTATCTCCCTCTCTAGCCGCCGTTCACAACGAGCCGAGAGCTCTTCGCCGACGGCCATGGCGCCGCCGCGGCCACAGTTGCTGTCGCCCGTGTTTGAGCACGTGTCTGCGCTCAGCGTGGTCCCAGGAGCCCAGAACAAGCATCTGTTCGTCCTCTCGTCAACCGTAGCCTCGTTTCCGTCGAGGTCCGAACCTCGGCCGCCGCCGCGAGCCTGATTCCGGCGAGCCCGCTCGACCTCAGCCCCTCCCGCTTGCTTAGATGGATACGGCTGAGCGCCAGCTACGCGTAGATGATCGTTGCCGCTGTTTTGGTCGCCGGAGGGCGTTTTCCGAGCCCTCCGTCGCGCCTGGACTCGCCGGCGGCTAAACGCCGGCGACCGCTGACCCGATGACCGGCGTGGGTTGACCCCACTGCCCGGTTTGACCCCCTCTCTCTCACTGACCTGCGGGCCCCGCCCGGCTAATTAAGTTAGGTTAGTATTAACTAAGCTAGGTTAGTTTAGTTAGACAGTGACACTCGGGACCCACCGGTCAGGGGTTGACCGGACTGTGCCACGTTGACCTGATGACGTCATCATGACATCAGGCTGACGCATTAATGAATTACTGGAATTATTAATATTCAGGAAATTTCAGAAAATGCCCTAAACTTCAATAAATCATAGAAATTCAACCGTAACTCCAAATTAAATAATTTATATATGAAAAATTATCAGAAAAATTCAAGGAATCCATCTGTACCACTTTCATGCATGTTAGAACAACTTATAGCTACTGTTTAGCACAAATCAATTAAATGGCATTTGAATAATCACATATGGAGTTTGAATTTGAATCTTGTATTCAAACCAACTTCATTTAATCTGTTGCTAGTTGCATTAGCCCAAAACACATTCATTTTGCCATGTCATGATCATGCATCATATTGTGCATTGCATTGATTGTGTTCCCTTCTGTGTTGCCGGTATTTGTCCCCTCTCGATAGACGTGATACCGATGATGTGATCGTTGACACTGATGAAGACTCAATGTTATCTTCAGAAGTGCCAGGCAAGCAAAAACCCCTTGTTCATTCCGATACAATCCTACTCTCTCGCCCCTGCTCTCTTTTAATGCATTAGGACAACACCGATTCATCTGTTACTTGCTGCGGTAGCTGAACCCGTTTATCCTCTGCATGACCTGTCATTGCCACAGTAAATAGATGAAACCCACTAGCATGAGTAGGAGTTGTTTGAGCCCTGTTGTGCCTACTCATTCATGCTTATTGTCATGCCTGCTACTGCTTAGAGTTGTGTCAGGTCTGATTCATCCGGGATGAATCAGAGGTGTGTGAACATGTCCTACGGTGTGTGAGCTAAGCGTGTGAACACGATTTGGTAAAGGTAGCGGTGAGAGGCCATGTAGGAGTACATGGTGGGTTGTCTCATTGCAGCCGTCCTCAGGAACTGAGTTCTGTGTTTGTGATCCATGATTCAGCTACTACCACGCATTGGGCCCGAAACCAATGGACCCTCTCGGCTTCTTGATCACCCTTGTCCTCTGTCCAGGAGTTGCAAGTAGTTTCTGGTGTTTGTAGTATGCTGGAGGCCGTGGGTAGCGCTGACCGGAGGGGTGGGCTATGATGCGGTAGGCACGTGGCCGGGTAAACCGGGCGCCTGTTTGGTGTCACGGAACCCTGTTCACATCGTTTGGGGCTGTGAGCGAAACTCCGGCCGGATCTCCTCATGGATGGAACCCGAATAGGCGATAAACCTGGACTAGAGACTCGAGTGTTTAGGTAGGCCGTGGCCGACACCCACGTTGGGCTTCCGCTTGAAGGTTGCCGAGTACATGTCGTGTAAACGGCGGTAAGTGGTGAGAGCGTGTGTGAAGAAGTACACCCCTGCAGGGTTAACATCATCTATTCGAATAGCCGTGTCCGCGGTAAAGGACTTCTGGGTTGCGTATATCAGTTCATAGACAAGTGAAAGTGGATACTCTAAAATACGCAAGATAAGCGTGAGTGCTATGGATGGCGTTCTCGTAGGGAGACGGGAGCGGTTCCATAGTGGTGTATTGGTTGGTGAATATGTGGACTCGTGTGCGCCACCTCAAAAGAGTTACTTGCAGTCGTAGTTTAGGTTAGCCACCGAGTCAAAGCTGGCTTGCTGCAGTTAAACCCCACCATCCCTTTGTTGATAATGATGCATATGTAGTTAGTTCTGATGTAAGTCTTGCTGGGTACATTTGTACTCACGTTTGCCTATTTTATGTTTTGCAGAGAGACTTCAGTCTCACTAGTAATTCCGCGTGGTCTTCGACGTTTAGCTTGTTACCTCAGCTACGATCCTGTGCCCTCGGCAGGATCTGGTAGATAGTCAGGCTTCTCAACCTTTTTCATTTATAGATGTCTGTACTCAGACATGATAGCTTCCGCTTGTGCTTTGATTTGTATGCTCTGAATGTTGGGTCGTGAGACCCCTGTTTGTAATATCTCGCTCCTCGGAGCCTATTGAATAAATACTTGAGTCGTAGAGTCACGTTGTGATGCCATGTTGTATTTGCACATATCGAGCATATTGTGTGTATGTTATTGAAATGCTTGGTATGTGTGGGATCTGACCATCTAGTTGTTTATCTTTAGTAGCCTCTCTTACCGGGAAATGTCTCCTAGTGTTTCCACCGAGCCATGGTAGCTTGCTACTGCTCCGGAACACTTAGGCTGGCCGGCATGTGTCCTTCTTCGTTCCTGTGTCTGTCCCTTCGGGGAAATGTCACGCGATGAATACCGGAGTCCTGTTAGCCTGCTACAGCCCGGTTCACCGGAGTCCTGCTAGCCCAGTGCTACAGCCTGGATTCACTCGTTGATGACCGACACGTTCGATGCTGGGTCATGGATGCCTGTCCCTGTAAGTCTGTGCCACTTTGGGTTTACGACTAGCCATGTCAGCCCGGGCTCCTTATCATATGGATGCTAGCGACACTATCATATACGTGTGCCAAAAGGCGCAAACGGTCCCGGACAAAGGTAAGGCGACACCCGTAGGAATACCGTGCGTGAGGCCGCAAAGTGATATGAGGTGTTATATGCTAGATCGATGTGGCATTGAGTCGGGGTCCTGACAATATGGTTGTACATTGTGCCTGGCAGCATGAGGAGCCTCATGAACTATGTCAATGATAGATACAACACCTCCGACAGTCTACATCGCTGAAAATGGCAAGTATATCAGTATATGCACAATATGATTTGCTACATCTGAATATTACAACACTGCAAAGAGACAGAAAAAACATATTCAAAGTTTTTGAACATAACAAAGGAAAAGGATGTGCATGTTTTCAATCAAGTGTAACTAATGTGCATTCGACATAACATTAAAGTAACTCCCTTGTTTCAGGGATGGATTACAGCAATAGATCTCCCTCAAGAAGGCCCTCAAGGACCGAAAATTCGTTTCTGGTCGTGAGCACAGCTGATCCTGAAATCTAGTCAGTTGGGCCACATCGGGATGCACACGTTTTCTGTATTTCTTCCCGTATGCGCTACCCGTATTGCTAAATTATTGTTGGGGAGGACCCACGCATTAAATTGACGATCAACCGGGTGGAGTATGGATGGATCAGTTGTTTTTCTGAGCCAAACTGTTCCGCTGTATGGGGACAGACGCAGCGAACGGCGACCTGCCCGTCGGTAGGTGGATAAGTACGACCCGCACCCTCTTCACTAATCCATCCCCGCCGCCGCTGCCAGATCGGGAGCCATGTCCGCCTCCGGTTCGTTCTCATAGTGCGTGGATTACAACGTAAGCACCCTATCAGAAATCACCTTGATGCATCTAGGGTTCATGTTTTTTTCTCCCGTAGGTGATCTCACGCAGGTCGAGGTCTTTCCTTTTTTTTGGGTAGGATGATCTTTGCCCGTCGAATAGCTCGGTTGCCGCCGGCGCCCATGCATCAAGCAGTGCGTGGATGCGTGAATCCCGCCGCACAGGTCGATCGCAAGCCCCAAACCACCTACTGCTCACCAGCACCGGGCATCAATCAGGCTGGACGCGCACGAGCCAGCAGATCTTCACGCAGATAGCTCTATGGGGCGGCCATATCAAGTCATGGCTGCTGCCATCCCGCTGATAGGGCGCCAACTTGATGGTCACCATATTAGAATCTACTAGCAAACGTGCCCGTTACAGCGGGAGAAAAAAAATCACATACTTCTAGCACAATAAGCATGACTCAAGACCAATTCAGTGGTGCATGTTATCTATTTGAATACAGTATCTCATTTATGTTGTTGTTTATCCTCCTTCCCGCCCTCACCGATGGTCAAACTTGGAATGCATGCAAATATGGTCAATCCAAAGGTGATGATCTCGGCCACCGCACTCACATCTCTCACTAAACTACGCCGTTGCAAGTGAATGTTTAATGTTGTTTTACCTAATCTCATCGAAATGGGGCATGAATGCCACCCTTCCCGAGGTATTGTCTACGTCTAGTCCCTCATACGCCCATTGACTTTAAAATTTCATATTTATTTTTTAAAATGCATCAACATTCTTTTTGGAGCACAACCACCTTTTAAATCACATGGAATATCTTAAAGGGCATGGGTATTTTTTAAATTACGAATATATTTTTAAGCACATGAACACTTTTTAGAATTACATGATTTTTCGAGAAAAGGGCGAATATGTTTTAAATTATATAAATATTATTCCCATACATGAACAGTTTCTTAATAAAGTTACACAAACATTTTAAGATGCATGAAGGATTTTAAAAAATTGAATAAGATTTTCCAAAAGTTAGAAGACATTAAAACTGACACAAAAATTAAAACGTGAGAACACTTTTTATGGCGTTCTAATTGTATTCATTTTGTGGAACGTTCTAATTTGGAGTGCAATTGATCAGGAGGTATGCACGCCTCACCAATAACATATGAGAAGGTGGAAAATTAAAGAAAAAACATATGAGAAGGTGTCGGTCCAATCTATATTCATCACCTCTTTCTATTATGGTAGGCTTAATTAATAGTCATTTTATGTTCGATTGAATTTAGCCATGTCACCACCTCGGTTTCTTCCTTTTCTTTTTAAGCTTCCTTAAATTAGGTAGACATTTACCATTTAGCCATCCATGGCAGGCACCAGGCTCCTTTCCTTTTCTTTGGAATAATTAATGTCGCGTCCCTCCCTATTATGGCCGGCTTAATTAAGAGTCACTTCGTTTGATTGATTTGGCCATGGCACCCATGCCCGGACTCCTTCCTTTTCTTTGTTCGTTCTTTTCAAGTGATCTCGATGTAGGATATCAACAGATGCATATTGTATTCGCCCCCTACTGCATCTAATCGTTGGTGTCGTACCCTTTTGGTCTGTATCGTCAGTGTGTTAGTCAGTATCGACCGGCTTCTGTAAGATGGGCGCACTCCCTTTAGTTATGAAATGGAACTATCTATGAAATGGTTCGAAATTTATGCTAATGAGCATTATCTAGTGCGATGTACTTGACGCACTTTTTTCCCCTACACGATGATGCTCTGAATCAGGGGCTCGGGAGGCCGGGTTCCATAATTGAGCTCTAAGTTAGAGCATCTACAGCCAGACTTGCAAATCCGGCCTCTCAAATGTCCAGACGCGTCCGGGCACTCACCTGGCACGCCTCATATGTTGGCTTCCAAATCCGCATCCCTCATATCCGGAACCCCGAAGTCATTCAACCCATGCAACACAATGTGTAAAGTATAAAACATGATCAACTAGCCCGATCATCATTGTATCGCCGGACAAAAGCACATAGTTCACCAAATGTTCATCGACGGACAGTGCAAATTTATAATACAAATACTTAGAACATGGATAAAATGTCAATAAAATAGGGAAGGACGAAAGAAATCATCATTTCCTTGCCGGCCCCTTCACCATCCAGCCCTCGACGCGGTTATGCCCCTCTGTCATGTAGGCGTCGGGTGTGTGTAGGTGCGTCGTCGTCGAAGCTGGAGCCGTCCATCAGGTCGGAGTCGGAGTTGCACCTTTTGCCCGAGAATATACGAAGCAGGCGATCTTGCTCCTTTGCATGACAGGCCGCCTGCGCCTTCGCCGTCGCCTCCTTGTTTACCTCACGCTCCGACAACTTGATGGCGAGTCGGAGCGCATTGGCATTCTTACGGCGGAGGAGCGCGACATCAGGATCGACCGGTGCGCACACAACGCCTCCCCCGCCGCCGCCCTCTCCCACGCCTGATGCCGCTCGTGCCGAGTTGCTCGCGCCTCGGGCGTCCTTGGACGTGCCGGCTCCGGTGCGGGCACGAGGCCCCAGTGGTGGCCGGGTACCAATTCCGGAGCAGAGGGTGGTGGTGGGGGCGTACCTTAAGGAGCGGAGCGCTGCGCGGGACGGGCCGACGACGTCGACGGGCGCCAGGCGCTGATGAAGTAGATCCGCCGCTGCTGGATCTTCCTTGGTCGAACTGCGAACGCCTCAACGCGATGCGGAGGGCGACTTCCTCCACATCATCGTCGGAGCCGGATTCCCCACCGGAGGCAGCGCTACTTCGGTCGCTGGCCATCGTTGGGTTCGGAGGGGATTGAAAGTGGAGTGGACAGAGAGGGGACTAAAGTGGAGTCCTGGTTGACTGCTGATGTGCACATAGCTATCTTAGAAACGTCTATGAATATTACACGGCAATTTATTAACCAGGTACTTTTGTTTTTTTGGATATATTATTTAACAAATAGAACTATGATATTACACTCATGTTGTGATTTATTTGTACCCAGAAACGAATGGACCAGAGAGTCAACAAGAGATGCTCTAGAGATGAAAGATGGAGATGCATGTTCGTTCACAAGAAGAAAAAGTAATTGCATGAACGTGTTTCCCACCAATTCATCCAACATGCATGCAACGTGGTCCATAACGTCCAAGTGCGCAAGACCACACAAGTTTTGGACTTTGCTCCTAGGATCCAAACCAGCCACGCACGTGGGTCCAAGACCTTATTTTTTGGTGTGTTGGGAGAGCAACTTTGGGCCAGCGAATAAACTAGTCCGGCCTGCTGTGCACGCCTCCGTATGGGCCGTCTCATCGTTTGGACGTATTCACCAAGACCTATCGCATCAACATCCGAAGGCGGTGGACGGCTTTAATAAATAGCTAGCTATTGTTAGGGTTTAGATTCAGGTTTTGTTTAGAGAAGTTTAGCTATATTGCTACTTTTATTTGTCTTCGCTCGTAGCGGCTAGTGCGACCGTCAAGACATCCTATCGGAACCCCATCTTGTGAGATTAATTCCATCTAGCACATTCGCAATTTTGAGATTGCTTGGCTATTATTTTCTTGCATGTTCTTTGATTTGCTTGCAGGAAAAATCCTTCGTGGATAGGTCGATCGCGCCGTTGGCTCGGTCGATAACGCCGTGGAGTTGGTTCAGCGATTGCCGTGGATATCAGTCGTGTACGGTTCTTCCTGTACGGTTGGTAGCTGGATCGTGAGGGTCAAGTCCCACCCAAAATCGTAGTTATCCTCTCTCATCGAAAGATCGGGTCCCAGTGCACATCAAGTGGTATCAGTTTTCAGGTTCATCGGTGAGAGATTTACAGTTTTATTAGGTTAGATTATTTTTCAGTCCTACAACCCACAAAAAAGCCAAAAAAATTAGATTAGTTCATCCGCTGCACCTATCTTTTTAGCCTTTAGCAATTTGCATCTGGTATTTGCTTTGTTGAATTTTTGGTTGCATTCATCCTGTTATTAGTGCTGGTTTAGATTAGTTTGGGAAAAAATATCTACTAGATCAATCCTTCTTTTCTCCACTGTATTATTCTGTTCAGCCAATTAGTTGTCTATAAAAAAATCCAAAAAAAGGAGCTGATTGCATCCGATTGTGTCTCAATTCTTGTTTCTTTGCTACCGGATTCCTCGCCTTTTCTTTGCGTGACACGTGTAGCAGTAAAGCCACAATCCCGCACCACACGTCACGTCTTACTTTCTCCTGTTGTTTGCGTGTCCGTCTATTCACGCACGCCAATCTATTTGTTTAATCTTTTCTTTTATCCGGTGTTTGTTTCCGTTTTCACGTGTTTGTCTTCCCGACGTGTATTGTTCCCTTAATTTTCTTTCCGATCTTACATGCCGGTAAGCATCATCGTGAGAACTGTGCCTTATTTTATCTGGTGGTTAGCTAGCAGTATTTAAGCTCTAGTAGCACAAGTTCCAACAAACAAGAATCTACGTCCTTGTTACTCCAAATTGTGTCCTACGTATCTTCTGCTAGAAACCGGCCTGGAAAAAAACAGCAAAAAAAGCAAAAAAAAACAAAGGAAAAAAAAGAAAAAGAAGTTGAAAAAAAAGATCAGGCCGGCTCATCTCTTTTGGACTACTTTGTTCTGTTTGCTACCCTGGACATTATTTTTGCTGCTACTTGCTCGCAACTTTGTCTATCATCTATTTTCGAGTGTTGCCATACATTGTGTTTATACCTCACTTATACCTAGCTATTTAGAGCTATCATACTTTCATCGCTTTCCATTCACTTGATTCAGTATCTGGGCTTAGATTGTTTTATCTCTTACTAGTCGACTGCCAGCACTAGCTAGGAGTTTGAGCAATTATTCAACTTGCATTGCTTTTTGCTAAATTGTGCCACTAATATTGTGAGTTGAGAAGCCTTTGCCAAGCTACACTTTTTTCTACCAATAAGTACAGGTCCCGGCTTTACTGATTCCTGGTTATCGCTCCATTCAATCTCCATTGGTAGTTTGAAGCCAACACCAACGCGCCGATCACCACCTGTTGCATTGGTAAGAACAAGTAAGAATTTGATACTAAGCTTGAGTGTGAGCGAATTTTCTCCACCACGTCCTACTAGTTGATAGGGATTATACACTGTGTTTTTTCTCTCTCTTTCTCTAACAATGGCCCAGGAACAACCCACACTTGAGGGCCTCACCGCAGATGTGAAAGTCACCAGCGAGCGTCTCGCCCAACTTGAGGGTGCCCAAATTGCGGCCGAAGAGAGGCTCAAGGCCATCGAGGATGCAGAGGGTGTTGCCAACACACATCTACAGGACATCTTGTCACGTCTGGATGAGTTGCAGGTTGCACCCCGCGTCAACACCAACGTTGATCCTCGCAGCTCTGCAGGTGTTGCCCTATTTCGCGAGCTCGGCGTGTGCCCATGGGTCATCCACAACACCCAACTACTGTCAATGATGCCGTCACCATAAACCAGCACCAACAAATTCCTCCCCGCGTTGAACAACATGGGGACAACTACGAGGATTATTCTGGTGACACCGAAGACGAACAAATGGTCAACCACCACAATGGTCGTGGTCATCGGCAACTACGTTTCAACCATCAAGGTATGGCAAGGAGTTTTTTGAAAGAAGTTTTTCAAAGAAAGACCTCGGTGAAGCTGCTTACATATTGAGCATCAAGATCTATAGAGATAGATCAAGACGCTTGATAAGTTTTTTCAATGAGTACATACCTTGACAAGATTTTGAAGTAGTTCAAAATGGAACAATCAAAGAAAGAGTTATTGCATGTGTAACAAGGTGTGAAATTGAGTAAGACTCAAAACCCGACCACGGCAGAAGATAGAAAGAGAGTGGAAGTCATTCCCTATGCCTCAATCATAGGTTCTATAAAGTATGTCATGTTGTGTACCTATTGTATACCCTACACTGTTTTTGGCAAGGGAGTACAATAGTGATATAGGAGTAGATCACTGGACAGCGGTCAAAATTATCCTTAGTGGAATAAGGAAATATTTCTCAATTATGGTGGTGACAACAGGTTAGTCATAAAGAGTTACGTCGATGCAAGCTTTGACACAGATCTGGATGACTCTAAGTCTCGATCTAGATACATATTGAAAGTGGGAGCAATTAGCTAGAGTAGCTCCGTGCATAGCATTGTTGACATAGATATTTGCAAAATACTTACGGATCTGATTATGACAGACCCGTTGATTAAAATTATCTCACAAGCAAAACATGATCACACCTTAGTACTCTTTGGGTGTTAATCACATAGCTATGTGGACTAGATTACTGACTCTAGTAAACCCTTGGGTGTTGATCACATATCGATGTGAACTATGGGTGTTAACCACATAAAGATGTGAACTATTGATGTTAGATCACATGGCGATGTGAACTAGATTATTGACTCTAGTGCAAGTGGGAGACTGAAGGAAATATGCCCTAGAGGCAATAATAAAGTTATTATTTATTTCCTTATATCATGATAAATGTTTATTATTCATGCTAGAATTGTATTAACCGGAAACATAATACATGTGTGAATACATAGACAAACAGAGTGTCACTAGTATGCCTCTACTTGACTAGCTCGTTAATCAAAGATGGTTATGTTTCCTAACCATGGACAAAGAGTTGTTATTTGATTAACGGGATCACATCATTAGGTGAATGATCTGATTGACATGACCCATTCCATTAGCTTGGCACCCGATCGTTTAGTATGTTGCTATTACTTTCTTCATGACTTATACATGTTCCTATGACTATGAGATTATGCAACTCCCGTTTACCGGAGGAACACTTTGTGTGCCACCAAACGTCACAATGTAACTAGGTGATTATAAAGGTGCTCTACAGGTGTCTCCGAAGGTACTTGTTGGGTTGGCGTATTTCGAGATTAGGATTTGTCACTCCGATTGTCGGAGAGGTATCTCTGGGCCCTCTCGGTAATACACATCACATAAGCCTTGCAAGCATTGCAACTAATGAGTTAGTTGTGAGATGATGTATTACGGAACGAGTAAAGAGACTTGCTGGTAACGAGATTGAGCTAGGTATTGAGATACCGACGATCGAATCTCGGGCAAGTAACATACCGATGACAAAGGGAACAACATATGTTGTTATGCGGTCTGACCGATAAAGATCTTCGTACAATATGTAGGAACCAATATGAGCATCCAGGTTCCGCTATTGATTATTGACCGGAGACGTGTCTCGGTCATGTCTACATTGTTCTCGAACCGTAGGGTCCGCACGCTTAACGTTACGATGACAATTTCATTATGAGTTTATGTGTTTTGATGTACCGAAGGTTGTTCAGAGTCCCGGATGTGATCATGGACATGACGAGGAGTCTCGAAATGGTCGAGACATAAAAATCGATATATTGGAAGCCTATATTTGGATATCGGAATCGTTCCGGGTGAAATCGGGATTTTACCGGGTACCGGGGGGTTACCGGAACCCCCCGGGGGTTATTGGGCCTACATGGGCCCTAAGGGAGAAGAGGAAAGGAGGCAAGAGGTGGTCGCGTGCCCCTCCCCTCCCTAGTCCAAATAGGACAAGGAGAGGGGGGCAGCGCCCCCCTTTCCTTTCCCTCTTCCTCCTCTTTCCCACTTCTCCTTCTCCAACTAGGAAAGAAGGGAGTCCTACTCCCGGTGGGAGTAGGACCCCCCCTTGGCGCGCCCTCCTTGGCCGGCCGCCCCCTCCCCTTGGCTCCTTTATATACGGGGGCAGGGGGCACCCTAGAACACACAAGTTGATCTTCGTGATCGTTCCTTAGCCGTGTGCGGTGCCCCCCTCCACCATATTCCACCTCGGTCATATTGTAGCGGTGCTTAGGCGAAGTCCTGCGACGGTTGAACATCAAGATCGTCACCACACCGTCGTGCTGACGGAACTCCTTCCCGAAGCTTTGCTGGATCGGAGCCCGGGGAGCGTCATCGAGCTGAACGTGTGCCAAGAACTCGGAGGTGCCGGAGTAACGGTGCTTGGATCGGTTGAACCGGGAAGACGTACGACTACTTCCTCTACGTTGCGTCAACGCTTCCGCTTCGGTCTACGAGGGTACGTAGACAACACTCTCCCCTCTCGTTGCTATGCATCACCATCATCTTGCGTGTGCGTAGGAAATTTTTTGAAATTACTACGTTCCGCAATAGTTGGTTCAGCGATTGCAGTGGATATCAGTCGTGTACGGTTCTTCCTGTACGGTTGGTAGCCGGATCGTGAGGGTCAAGTCCCACCCAAAATCGTAGTTATCCTCTCTCATCGAAAGATCGGGTCCCAGTGCACATCAACTGCAGACTAGGGTTTTCCGGATGAGGATATTTTTGGGGCACGCGTGGGCCATGCTGGGGCAACTCACATAGACCGCTCCGTATCCGCCTCATATTTAGGCTGTATATAAAGCATTCCGCTGGATCGGTGCTTCACGACAGGGCTGTCGGTTTGGGCGTTTGGGAAAAGTTTAGGTGCCCCAGGTGTAGATGTTCTTTAGATCCATGGCAGGCGCAGACGCGTTGGATTAATATGATTTATGCGTGCCCAAAACAAACTGCGCAATGGAGAGGTTAGTTTGTGTCTGAGCTGGGGATGATTGCATGTCGCCCGAAACATCACGTGGCCCGTCGTTTGGTGCTCGCCTGCATGCAATAATGACGACGCTTATCTCGGAACAGACGGCATGCACACGTCAAACGGCTCGGCTCCTTGCCATTACCTAGTTTTCATAAATGCGCCCGGCGGACGACCGTATATCTCGGTTCCTTGCCTTATTTCGTCAGACCACCACATTTCCTTAAACTCGTATATGCTCAGATGGACCCACTAGCCTGGATCCCAAGAGATGGACCTACGACCAGGATAACATGTTCAGATGATCCCATTCTCAGATACGCCGGTCTCCTCAAGGACACAAAAAGGATCAACTACCACAATGACTACCTCACAAATGTAGCTGATTCCATAATATGCTAACATAATTTTACCTTCCCTTGACCAGTCAAAGCTTCTTTGGCTATCCACGGATCAGTTAATCTTTGATACTGTAATTTCTGCAGGACGGACGGCTGTGATGTTCGTGGGTATTTTGTGTGGTCTCTCCTCGACAATTGGGAGTGGACCGCTGGATACACCTCAAGATTCGGGTTGTACTTCGTACACTACAAGGATAACCTCAAGAGATATCCCAAGAACTCTGTCCAGTGATTCAAGAATTTCTTGGCATCTTCCTGATCAAAATTTGATAGCTAATGTAGAGCTCATGATCACATACGCACTTCAATATTTTTCTATGAGTTCAACAGCAATTTGTGTTTTCTCATGTATACATCGATTGTATATAGTGAAAATCGACTTTTTAAAAATTTAGGTGGTTAAATTCCAGAGACACAGGTAGCCTGTAGCTATGATATATGCATCTAGAAACTGCAGAATTTTGACTTTAAATTCGATAAATGAACCAAGTGATTCATAAAATCAATAAAGGGTTTGCATTGCCATGCACCAGAGAGCCCTCCTATCCTTAACCGAGCAAAGAGGTTGGTATGCTTCCATCTTTCCAACCAGCCGAGCTGCCACACCCTCTTTCTTAGCAATGTTCTTCATTTGTACAGTATAAGTGGAGTCCAACCTATGAGCTGAATAAACATATATATAAACTATAAAGTAGGCCACCATAAGTAAATTATATGAATGCAGGCCTACCTGTCTGTATCAAGCAAAAAACTGTGCTTAACTAGCTCTCCCCAATCAAGAACTCTCCCCAAATCCCTCTACTTATCCAAGAAATATAAACCTCTTGTGCCTAAAAACAGCGGGGTAAGCTAATCTTCACCAAAATTGGTAACTGAGTCCACGTACATCCACATCCCAAGAAACATACCAAAATGAGGCACCTAAACCTTGTTTTGGAGCAGATCTGTCACACCAAAATGAGGCACCTAAACCTTGCTTTGGAGCAGATCTGTCACACCTGGGTGATGCTGGAGGCGATGTTCTCCTCCCCGGAGGAGAGGAGAGATGAGATTCCTTTCCGGCCCTCTTCCTTCACTGCCATCTTTCTCTGGGGGTGCTGTTCTCCTCAGTCGCAGAGCAATGGAGTGCGTACCAGATGGATAGGGTGGCTTCCAAATCACCTTGCAGCGCCGTACAGGATGAACGATGGCACCTCAAAGGTGTGGAGATTTTCCTTGTCGGATCCATCCTATTCTCTTTCAACTGAGGCTCTGAATACCTGAAGATCCCTCCTCTCGTTGATTGGACTAGCTAGGACTACTATCCTAACTGAAACTTGACTTTTGTACAGATCTCAAAAATTTAATGATTGATTTTTTGTACAGATCTCAAAAATTTAATGATTGATTTGGTTGGGGTGCGCCGGGCCAGGACAGCAGTGCAACGCCCAGGCGACGCGTGTGGACCCCAGCAGCAAGCTACTGTGGTGGGCCCACCCCCACAAAAAATAAATTTAATATCATTGTGGGCACATGGCCCACATATCAGATATTAAACTGATAAGAACAGATACTACACTTGATCTTAGCCAAAAGGCCGAGAAAGGTATGAGTTGCAATGCTGAGGCAGGTCTCCTTTTATAGCCATCCGCCCTCCGCGCTCCTCCTCCGTGGGCGATGTGGTACTAAAGCTGCCTCCTCCTTCCTCGTCTGCTGTCCCGCCGGTGCCACCAGCACGCACACGCGCTGCTGGTTTGGGCCCAAACTGAGAGCCCACGGCAGGCCTTGTGGGGGGTTACGGCAGGCCTTATG